CCCTTGTTCGTTGAACTCCATGGTTTCCCCTCTGGAAATTTACTCCCTATCCATTTTCTATGGCTACCTGGGAAGTAGAGGTTGGGTGTTCACTCCCTGGGAATTGTGAAGACAGTCCACTTCCTGCTGGTGTGAACTTGGTGCCCATTTTAAGGCCAAGCTCATGTTTCTTGGGAATATGAGTCTCTTAAAAACTCATATGCCACGGAACCACAACCAAGCTTTTGACCAAATTCTCAAAGTATGTATTATTTTTGCCTTTCTTTAATGGAGGCTATCTCCTATAATAAGATAGGAGGCTATCTTATTATCCCTGAAAATAAGATTGCACTGGGAATGTTACATGCAGATCATCACTGCAAGGCTGGGTTCCTCTGGCTTAACAATTGGTAGAGAAGTCTTCATGGGCTTTCCCCCAATCTCCCACACCTCAAAAATAATTTTGAACCTTTGCTACTATTCAGATTTCAGAAACAATTGGCTTACTTTTGTGAGGTTCCTTGTATCTGAACTTGGTCTATTCCCTTCCATCTCTGCATGAAAATGTCAAAATTTTTTGATACCTTGCTGAATGCAAGGAATAGCCAATTCATTTAACATTCTGTCTTTTTCCAACTAGAGCTATCAGCTTAGTAGGTGTCAAAATATATCCCCACTGCTTGTCATGTTAATGGTAAGCTAACGCTATATACTTAGTTTTTGCTATGCAATACTTCAGGATAATTTCTTCATTAGAAATATAAGTGGTACACAGTGTGCACAGGGACTGTGTCCAGCGTCTGGAAAAGACTCGACCAAATTTTAGGCTCCTTTGAGCCTTCTTTTTCACTAGTCCAGTTTTAGCAGAAATCCTGCTAAATCAGTTTAGAGAGAATCCCATCCTCAGTAACATGATCATCAACCTGGACTGTCTCTGGCAAGAATCATCCTACTCTTGATGTCTCCACTTAGTAATTTTCCATACACTGACCTCATCACTGCTCATTGACTATAAATCCTCAGCTGTATTTGCTGTGTTGAGCCTGGTTTCTTTCCCTTATTGGATGATGGTCTTAACACATACAGTCCTGAGTAGTCTTCTTTACTGCTTTAACAAGTGTCAGAATGGTTTTTTCTTTAGTACCTCCTAGCTTACATGCTGGTAGAATAATATTTGGTAGGGAAAAATCAGCATACTCCTTGTTACGGACTGAATGTGTCCTCCCAAAATTCTTAGGTTGAAATCCTAACCCCAAGGTGATTAGGAAGTGGGGCCTTTGGGAGATAATTAGGTAATGAGGGTGAAGCCCTCGTGAATGGGATTGTGTCCTTATGCAAAGAGACCTCAGAGATTTCTCTTTCTGCCACATAGAAGACAGCAGTCTGCATCCTGGGAGACGGCCCTCAACGCTGATCTCAGACTTCCAGCCTCCAAAACTGAGAAATACATTTGTTGTTTACAAGCCACCCAGTCTATATTTTATTATAGCATCCCAAATAGTTCAAGACATCCATTTTCCCCACTGTTTCCCAGGAGGAATTTCCCCAATATTGACACTGCCATTCTATGCAAAATGTGTCCTCTTTATATTCCCTTTGGACTCACAGCAGGTTACTACAAATCACAGTTCCTTGTCTGAAACTTGCAGGGCCAGATGTTTTAGAATTTGGAGTTTTTCAGATTTTATAAAATATTGTGACTCAGACACCAATATGGTTTGGCACAACACGTATAATTAAGTATATTAACATTTCTGCAGCAAAATGAGTATTAAAGTAGGATAAAGAAAGACTATATATATATAAAATCTTGCTGAGAAAGTCAGGCTCAGCTACCAGGTGAGTTTTGTTACCAAAATGCTGGGAAAAACCTTTCACTTTTCAGAGATTTCTGGTTATGGAATTGTAGCAACAAAACCTTTTGTAGAAAAGTAACCAAAATCATGTATGCATTTAGTTCCAACCAGTTAATATCGTATCTCTATTCCTGTCCCTATTCCCTGTGATCTAGTCCCTTTTGTAAATGAAAAATGATAGTTGAATTATAAAATCTAAAATTAATTTTATTGTCCAAAGAAAAGCAAAATTGATCTTAACTTTAGAATGTAAAGCCATTCTTTACTTTGCCCAATAAAAATTTTGTTTTTCCCTGAACACTGTGGTGGCTGTCATCAGATTCTTCAATGTGCATGTAACCAAAATTATTACCAGTGGATACCAGGGATTAGTTGTTAAGAGCATTTGTAAATCATGAAAGAACAGATAATGTGAAGATATGAAAGGTTAAGAATTGGAAGAGACTTAATTCCTTCTTACTCTTATCAGAAAACTAGCCGCAGTTTATTTCACTGAAATCAGAGATTAATGGTATTTAAAAGACAAATTTACAAGGCTAGGTGTGGTGGCTCACACCTGTATTCCCAGCTCTTTGGGACACCAAAGCAAGGGGATTCCTTGAGCCTAGGATCTTGAGACCAGCCTGAACAACATAGTGAGACCGTGTCTCTCCAAAAAAAAAATTTTTTTTTAATTAGCCAGGCATGGTGGTACTTGCCTGTAGTCCCAGCTAGTCAGGAGACTGAAGTGGGAAGATTGTTTGAGCCCAGGAGTTCAAAGCTGCAGTGAGTTACGGTACCACTGCACTCTAGCCTGAGTGACAGAGTGAGACTCTGTCTCCTCAAAAAACAAAAACAAAACAAAAAAGGCACATTTACTGTAACAAGGACTTTATGTTGGCCGTTGGCCTTTGGACCTATGAAAGGGTGGGTTGAGAGACAACAGAAGCTGAAGTTGTACATTCATTGTAATCAATTTTATAATGTATCTTGTTTTAAAATGTATACATTATAGATGGCTTATCAAGTGCTATTAAAACTTGGAAATACCCCCAAATTTTACCAAAAAGTATTCATTTAACAAACACAAAATATGTGATAACTATGTTGGGTGGTAAAAGCCCATTTTTCCAGTTGTCATGTTGCCCATCTTCTCTAAACTACCCTACTTTTCCATGCATTCTCTTTCCCATCAATTTGCCTCATATCTGACCTTTCAGAATAAGGGATAATTTTATTTCCAAAACTCAGCTCTCATACTATGGAAATACATGGGAGTTATATACTTTTGAGGGGGAAGAAATTGTTGAAATGTATGCAGAAATTCTTTTATGTTTTAATAAATCACATATAAAAGATTTAATTATCTTACTTTAGCCATCTTATAATCTTTAAATCTTGCTAAAGTTAGAACATATAGCCACATTGAAAAGAGAACAAAACATTGTTCACAGATGCCTAGAGTGTAATGTATTTATGTTTTAACTATTCTGAATAGTGTCTACTGAATACAAATACAAAACCATTTAGGGACTAGAATTCTGAAATTTTAAAATACATTAAATTCATTTCTAGTGGTTCATTTTAACATGTAAGCAGTTCCATCATGTTTCTCCTCCAAATGTGGTCTGATAGCTCAAAAAGACTAATTCTAGAAACATGATGTTTTCGTGGAGAAATGATTAATGGAAGCAAGACCATCAGTAAAAAATATTCAAGAAAAGGGACGTTACTTTACACTGATCAACTTAAAAAGCCTCTGAAAAGGCAAACTAAAATAAAGAAAAGCAAAATACACTATTTCTCTCCTTTATGGATAAGATGTAAGTCATTTTGAACAATAAAGTCAGATTAGGGAGTAAAAGGAAAAAGCCATTTGATTATTAAGACTGTCTATTGCATGGATATAGTACAGGTTACACATTAGAGTTTTAGTTTTGTTAAACCTGTCAGTTATGGTACATCCACAAAGGAGTATGTGCACAGGAATTAGCAGTGATTTGGCAAATTCAGTTGCTCAAATTTTACCACTGCAAGCTTATGGAGTTTAACCAAACAAATGAATCTGCAACCAAGAAAGTAAACAAAACAAAACAAAATAAAACAAAACCAAGCTTTAAAGAGTCTTTAGAGAAGAATGTTCACATGCAAGAATCTTCCCAGGCAAGAAGGTTTTCATTAAATTAAAAAAGAAGTTATCTCCTGAAGTAGTGGTTTACCTTCAGAAATACTCTCATCTAGGGTTATTACACTCCAAATGCAAGGTGAGCTAGAGAGGGAGAATGCTTGCAAGATGTGTTCAGTTCATATTAAATAAATACAAAGTATGGCTAAATACTATGTATTAAGATTTTCTACCACCAATTTATAGAAGTTCAGAGTATAACAATGGAGTAAATAACTTATTTTCTTTCTCAATTCACTCTTTGAAGTAAGGAGTGAATAGTGTTAGTGGCTATGTTTGGCTTCCTTCAGTAAAAGCAGAAGCTAGAGACTTATTTTCCTTATTCATAAGTTCTAAATTTACCTACTGGGGAAGGAGTTGTATGGGAACCTATAATAGTTTAGGGCTTGCCCAAAGATGGGGTATGTGTACGTCTATGAAGGAATCCAAAATCGTACCTAACATGTGGAAAGTTCTCTAGGTAGTTAGTATTCAAATAGTTCTGTGGTCTCAGAGATTTAGATCCTCTTCCAAAGAGTCTAACCCTGTTACCCAGACATAAGAATTTCATAAATAAAATATTTTAAATGGAACAACACAGCTCCATTTTAATATAGTCCAGTGACATGGTAACTGATTTAAAAAGAAGAGCAGTAATAATAGTTGCTCCTCAGTGGCAGCTTTGAAGCTATTCATAGATGAGACGACAGACTTAAAATAGACTGAAACTTGTCAGGAAAAAAGAAAAAAGATAAAAATACAAAAGCATTCCAACCCCACTGGAAACAAGAAAAAATAAAAATAAAAACATGATGAATTGAAATCAGCCATTAGAATCTCTTAGTAATAAGGAAAATAATATAAAGCCTCCCCAACAATAACCTGTTAAATAGGGTATTAAGGATGAAAAAATATTTAAATTTTATTTTCAATAGCAATGTATGCATAAAAAATTTTGTGAATGGGCTAAACTACTTTGGCATAAAGCAACTATAAAAACTTGAAAAAAAATCTGTACATCATTTTGTTTTGATAAAACTCATTATCTTTGTATTCAAATGTAAAATATGCTACAATATAATCCAGTGATTTTATGAACAAAGCACCTCTTTAAAGGAATCTATAATTTAAGCGAACAACTGACCATAACTATAATTTGACACAAACTAGGTAAATGTGGGTCATATACAACACTTTCAATTGTTGATAGAATCAAACAACCATACAGAAACTTTATTGCATTTAGCTCTGTACAACAGAACACATGCTCATTTTTATTATAGAACTACCAGTTATATTGTATAGCCATTTAAGTGGAAATTCCAATAACTGATTTTTTCCAATAGCAATGAAGCTGCTACATATTATTTTGTTCTGTACAAACCAAAACTATCTCCAAACAACTAAAACTGTGTAACTTCTAATGGTATTAATCTCTTAGATCCGATATGTAATGTGCCACTTTTATTCTAAATTCAAAGACCAGGTAACTTCAAAGATGCTTTTTTTTTCCCTCTGAAATGAAGGACTAAAATAAATGTCTGAAAGAAAAGTGTTGCTAGATATTAGAAACAGGATGTGCATAGATTGATTAAAGTTCAAGTCTGGCATGCTGATTTTAGAATGCCAAACATCCCTCTCAGGAATTAAAAATACTTGAATCTAGTTTAGTCCTTTCGTACTCTTCTTTTGCGTACTGACTTCATTGGCCCATCTCCAGATCCTGTGCTCTCATCTGCTTCTTTCATCTAGAAAAAATAATTACAAAAAGGTTTCTTTTAGTATAACAAGTAACTAGTAGATAGTAGTAAACAATATATTTATTATTCTCTAAAATATATGTGCTATCAATCAAGTGCTATGATGAAGGTATTATATGAAATAAAGTTATAGTTATTTCTCAAGGCTATACAAAAATCAATGTATTCTAGCTCACTGAGACATACACATAAAAAGACAGAAAGACTGAAAGATGTAATTAAGATATTTTTGAAGGTACACAAAGTATTTTGTAACATAAATGTAAATAGAATACATATTCAAGTAAATGACTGCAGGTATTATTTTAAGAAAGTCACAGCAGAAACAATGATTATTTAAACCTTGGCTCTGGAAGAAATTGTCTTCACCTAGGTCTCCCTAAATATGGATATTCATACTAGATAATGGTCCCCAAAGTCCCTATAAAACCTCAGAGGGCAGGAAGACCAGCAGCCAGTATGTGTACTGATTGAACATTAGGAAAGACTTAACAATAACTGCAAATTTATTTGGAGGATTTCTTCAAATAGATAAAATGGAGCAAAATTTAATCACATGCAACAGCAGGCAGAACTGTACTTTTATCCTACCTACGTAGTTGGAATGTAATATGTTAGCATGGTGACTCTGTGTGGTAAGGCTATGTAGCTCTTTTGGGCCAGAGAAAACTGGTTTTTGGTTTATGCTGGGTTAAAAAAAAGAAAAAGAAAAAAGAAAGCTCTGGCTCTAATTATACTCTGGATTTCTCATTCCATAATAACTTACAAAAAAAAAAAAAGCATTGTGCAAAGTTCCATTTTATATCAGGACACAAAACAGGGTAGACTGATGGGGGTGGGGGAAATTCATTAAAGATTTGAGAAAAATACCCTATCAGGCAGATAGTACTCAACTACCCAGTGAATGAATATTTCAAAACATGAGAGTAAAATGTTGAGACATTAAGGATGTTTTACAACAGCTATAAAAATTATAATAATGACAATTATCTTTTAAATATTCAAACAATGTGTTTATTATGCTTTTCAATAGAATTTCAATGAGAAAGTCATAATTTTGGATACACATTCTATCTTCATATTTTGTACGTCACAGGCTTGCTCTATACTGTTTTACTAGGCATTGAGACAATATAAATTATAGTATTTGTCTTTCCTTCCTTATGGATATGTTTTAAAAACAATATAGAGGCTCTTATAAAAGCTGAGAGAAATATGGCAAAAATTCTTTCATAAACCAGATTGGTGCTTTTATTGAAAGAACTTTTTATGGATAACAACTATACATAGAAACCAGTTTATTTTCTGTTACCTCATCCTCTGATCCAGACTTATTTGATTTATTACGTTCTTCTTGCCCTTCTATGATTTCGATTTCTTCTTCACTCTTTTCCTCAGGTTCACTTTCCTCTTCTAGAATACAGATTTTATTAAAAGCAAAGACTCAATAAATTAGAATTTTGCTACTGAAAAGTATTAAGTACAATAAAGGGGATTTATTTAAATTCCAAGATTTATTCCAAGATTTAGAAGAAACTTCTTCCATTCAAAATTTTAAAAATTATAAATACTCATTATATTGTCATATTTTATAAATGAATCATCATATTTGAGTTGGGGGACAAGTTTTAAAAACTTCTTAAGCATTCAATCTGTATGTAATATGAAAACCAAAAAATAATCATCTTTCTTGTGTTCCTGTCTTGGGAAATACTTCCTTTAACTTTTGGTGATCTTTTAATCTTCAATATGTTATTTACTTATGTTTGTTCTCTGTGGACATTATCAGGCATTTTTTCAGTTACTGACCCACCTTAGGATTCCATTTAGCAGAACCTCCAACTTTTGTCATCATTGTTAACCAAAAGATATTAAGCATGTCCTAGGAGCTATATAAAGTAAAAACTCCTACCCCACCAAGAATGGGCTTTGGGGAAAGGGAAGTTGAAAAATCAACTCTGACTTCTTCCATGTAGTTCCAGTGTGGGACTACATGTATAGGTGAAAGTACCTTTATACAAGCAGGCCCTTCTGATACTTAAATGTCCTCTAAATAAGGTTGATCCAGACATCAATATACTCAGCACTAAGAAGTTACAAAAATAAGGCTGAAAACTTACAACCTGAAGTATTTGTTGTTTTAGATACCCATCCTAATAAATACATGTACATGCATTTATACATGTATATGTGTGTATATATACACTCTCTCTTAAAAAAATAGACACACATGTGTTTTTAAGTCAACTGTTTCATCAAGTGAGTTAAACATTGTGCTTCAAGACATTTGACTTGGGACACTGGGCAAATCAATAGTTTTATTTTTACCTCATGTAAGGAGGTCTCAGTGGAGAGCCACCAAATGGTGACTTCAGTTCTAACATCTTCACGAGTTTAATATAGGATGGGAAGGGGATATAGGTTCAGCAATCCTTTCAGAAAATTAATTAAATTATTTATTCTATATGGTAAGCATCTGATTAACAATAGCCATTGAAAGACTTGGTGTTGATTTTGTTGCTGCAATCACCTGCTTTATATCTATTTCTTTTCTATAGAAGCCATTATATATAACCTCTATCACCCTCCATCTCATCTTCTACACTCCCAGAGCCAAGAAACATCCTTGCAAAAAGCTATGGCCTATGGGATTCATAACTGCTAGGCTCTGAAGCAACTGAACACTATTTAAATCTCCTTCTTCCTAGAACACAAAAACTATAAACAGGGTGACTGCTCAGATGACTATTACTCCTTCTTGCCACAGTCACATATTCTTGGGAGATTCAGATGTATAAACTTGATAATAAACAAGTGTAACACCTAGTTATTTCAAGGCAATATACTGTTTTATGAGCTTTACCCAGGGTCTCCATTATAAATCACTCTCATTGTCTTACCTTTTTCAAGCATTTCACCATCACTTTGCTTTTTTTCCTCTTCCAGGTCCATCGGTTTTTCCAGGGCTGCTTTCTCTTCCTTTCCTTCTTGCTCTAGTATTCCTTTTGTTTGTGGTATACATATGTCGGTTTTTTTATACTCTGTATCTTTATATTTCTTCTGTGGTAGTTAACATATTTTTACTAAAGGCAGAGTGCTATTTTGAAAAAGCTTTTTTTTTTTGCAATAATTGATAACATACATAATGAAAGTAAAACTTATGAGACATTTAGTTTATTACTTTTAAGAATCACTTGCTCAATTTATAGAACTCCTAAACAATAAGAAATTTGGGGAAAAAAGTTGAAGGAAATCAATTTTCTTTACCTTTACTTTTCTTGGCCAACAAAATGAAGTAATTAATGCTATTGGCACTCCTGCTGTTATGAGATAAATCAACCAAAGCCATGGGTGCCCTTCAGCAGCTGCCATTAACTGTTTTAATACACCAGGCTATAGATGAGATAAGCACAAAAATGCAATTCAAATTTTACAAACCTTTACTGGGTAACACAAGATACAAAAAACTTATTTACTCAGGCATTTTACATTAAGGAGTGATGAACTTGTAAGTAAAAGAAGTTTCATTTTCCCACCTTATACTTTGTAAAGTCTAATTTAATTATTAGCATGCATCACTGAGTGAGACTTGATAGCAGAAGATATGTTATGACAAAAGTGGAAACTTCTAACATACTAGCAAGAAAAATGGTAATTTTCCTTTTTGGTAAATTTCAGAATAGAACTACCTTTTATGGATGTATTACCTGGTTTATTTGAAGTGATCATTCATTCTGTACTTTTAAAGAACTTATTAAAATCATACCTCAGAATTGTTTTCTTTTTTATATAAACACATGTCACATACAAGACCCTCAATAAGAATATTATTTCTCTTATTAAAATAAAATTTAAAAAAATCAAATGTTTTAGGTACAAGAGGTTCAAAACGAGAATCCCTCTTTACCTACTCTTTTGATGGTTTTTCGCTAGTGACCCAAGGAACCAAATGTAAGGTAAGAATTTTTCTTTATAGCAACTGAATTTAAAGATATATTTTCTAAGATGCATTGTGTTGAAATATTTAGCTTAACCTTTTCTAAACAGTGTTAAAAGATTTTGGGAAAAAACTGGAACAGAATTTAATAATGTTAAAATATAAATTATTTGTACATTCCTCTAAGTAAAAAATAGTTAAAATAAATAAACAGTAATATTTAGATTATCATTATCACTTAGGTCTTGAATTGGCAAGATGACAAAGATATTAAGTAATCTTCTTCTATAAACAGTAAATAAGCATTAAATCCCATTAGAGATATTATAATTCAATGAATAAAATGAGGACTTACATATGCATATGTAGTTCATAATGAAGTAACATAAAAAGCAAAATATTTTGTCTGCATAAACTTATTCAAACACATTTCCTTGGCATTTAGTAATTATTGCACATTTATTTGCCTTTAAAAGAGCCATTTGAATAACCTACAACCAAGACCAAATCTTATTATCATTATTCATAGTTATATCACTACTGTTATTGGTCAACACCATACCTCATTAGCATTTGCTATCATTATTTTCCATCTCCAACCATCTGCAGCCCAGTGATCTGCTACTTCCTTTTCCGAACAGATAATAAAATTATCAAAGTAGATATCAGAGGTCATAGACCAAAGCTCTAAACCAAGAGCACTAAAAGAAGTCAGAAGAAATGGATGATCATCTTCGAAATAATCTGGATTAGGAATTTTTCGAGGACTCCAGATTCCCTGGAAGAAAAAGTAATTGAAGACATTTTCAAATAAAATAACTTCATTATAAATGCTGCTTAATAAATAGCTGCTGTTGAATGAAATTCACAATGCTAACTGGAAAAAAGAAAACTTTAACTGATATTAATTCATTAGTAACATACTGGAAATAAAATATTGTTTCTTTTTGCTGTGTACCCGATGTTTCCTATGAGGGATAATGATTTTAAATTCTGCAAAAAAAGGAAAAGGGAAAATCCAACATAAACAGAAACGTGAATAAATTTCACAATTTGTCTATTTTAGACAAATTTTTAGATTTAGTAAAATTCATTGCAAAATGTTACTCAAGTTGTCCAAATCAGAAAGATTATTGTATAGCAAAAATGGAGTTACTCCATTTAACATATACCCATGACAGATATCATTAATCAGGTATGGTTGACTCTCAGCACAACTACTCAACATAAAACTTCCATTAGATCTTAAATGATTAAACTGTCAATTAAATCAAATACATTCAACAACATTATTGCTCATTGAGTCACTCCGCCATCACATGTATGTATTCTGGACCAGGCACTATGCCAGATGATGGAGACATACATGGTTCTTGTATTAGGGAGTTTAAAGTAGAATAAAAGAGACAGACATTAAACAATATTTACCAAAAGAAATATTTTGTGTTAAATGCTTTTAATAAAAACTACAGTGAGTAATTAGAATATGAAACTGTATATATATAATGTTAGAACGTGTCCATAAATAATTACAAAGATAAAACTAGAGGGTTAAGTGGATAACATAAAAACTTTTAATATAAAAAGCTAGGTACACTCAAAAGATGTCTGATTGATATCAGAATAAAATCAGGGCCGGGCTCGGTGGCTTACTTCTCTAACCCCAGCACTTTGGGAGGCCGAGGTGGGCAGATCACGAGGTCAGGAGTTCGAGACCAGCCTGGCCGACATGGTGAAATCCTGTCTCCACTAAAAATACAAAAATTAGCCAGGTGTGCTGGGGCGCACCTGTAATCTCAGCTACTTGGGAGGCTGAAGCAGGAGAATCACTTGAGCCCAGGAGGCAGAGGTTGCAGTGAGCCAAGATCGCACCAGGGTTTTTTGTTTTCTTCTTTTTCTTTTCTTTTCTTTTTTTTTTTTCTGAGTCTTGCTCTGTTGCCAGGCTGGAGTGCAGTGGCGCGATCTCAGCTCACTGCAATCTCCACCTCCAGGGTTCAAGAGATTCCCCTGCCTCAGCCTCGCGAGTAGCTGGGACTACAGGTGTGCACCACCACGCCCGACTAATTTTTTGTATTTTTAGTGGAGACGGGGTTTCATCATATTGGCCAGGGTGGTCTCCATCTCCTGACCTCATGATCTGCCCGCCTCAGACTCCCAAAGTGCTGGGATTACAGGCGTGAGCCACCGTGCCCGGCCAAAAATCAGAATTTTAATACTACTAAAGAATAAGTACATTAATTAAGCACAGGCATTAATTACTAAAATGTACAATGTGTGTCTATTTGATCAGAATTTACTTCTTATATTTACTTCTAAAATAGAAGTTTATTTCAAAGTGAACATCAACTGATAATTCAGGAAGAATATAGTATGAAGTGATTTATTTCCCCAGAAAATTAAATAACTGATGCTCTACTTTTAAAATATAAATTAGTTGGGGTCTATTTTCTCTGACATCTTAAAAATGAAACTTCCAAAAGTTAACATAGATAATTAGATATTTAAACAGAAAAGATCACAACCTTTTTAACTTCACTAAAGAATTGGAACAAGCGGTTGTTACCTGGTAGTTAGGATTATCGACCAGTGGAGGTCTCCATACTCCTTTGTATTTTGGGTTATCTATCATGGGAGGTTTCCACTCACCACACCCAATCCGACATGCTGGATTAAGAATCTGAGGTGCCTCCCATTCTCCATCCATGTCTTCATTCCTTAGGATATTAAAGCAAATATAGTAACCTCAAGTCTCAGATCAGTCATATAAACTAGTAACAAAAATGCACGTAAGAAACATTTAAAATCGACATTTAAAGATGAAAAGTAATTACCAGTCATCAGGTTTTTCAGCATTAGGATCAGGGATAAATTTTGGTTCATCATCAAGCCAGCCAGCAGGTTTAACAGCACTTGAATCTTCTATTTGGGCAGGTTCACTTTCATCCCTGTAAATACAATGTTTTATATTAATTACTAATTATTCAAAAAGTTTAAAAATGCATATGTTACAACACTCAGAAGGTACCACATAAAATTATTTCCCTCCCTTTTGTTTGTGCCTGTGATTTGTCCTCATCTACCACCCACCTAAATCTTCTGCTAACTTGCCAATTTTTGGTACATATTCCCCATTGTGCTCTATGCATACATGTACACATGTATACATTCTTTTTTAATACAAATGATAGCATTCTATACATAATATATTAGACCTTGCTTTTGTTACTTAAAAACTCATTCATCAAATATATATTGCATGCTTACTATGTGTTAAGACTGTTCTAGGAGCTCCATTATTATTATTGTTTTTTCGCTTGAGATGGAGTCTCACTCTTGTTGCCCAGGCTGGATTGCAATAGTGCGACCTTGGCTCACTGCAACCTCTGCCTTCTGGGTTCAAGCAATTTTCCTGCCTTAGCCTCCAGAGTAGCTGGGATTACAGGCACTTGCCACCACGCCCAGCTAAGTTTTTGTATTTTTAGTAGAGAGAGCCACCATGCTCATGCCTGGCTGGACCATATATATATATACACATATATATATATGTGTATATATATATCTGGCTTCATTCTTAACAGCTGCATAGTTTTCTACTTGAGGATATACCATAATTTATTTAGCTTATCTCATCTTGGAGGACATTTAGTGTTTCCAAAATTTTACTATTATTAATACAAACAATGCTACAGTGAATGTCCTAGAATATATGCCATTTCTTACCTGTGAAAATATAATTGTTAAGATTATGGACATTTTAAATTTTGATAGTAGCATCCAAATTACTTTCTATAATGGTTACACTCCATTTCCAGTTCTACCAGCAGCATGCAAAAGTACTTATTTTCTCCTGTCTTTGTGAAGAGTGTTACCAAACTTCTTGATTTTTGCCCATGTGATAGGTGAAAATTGGTATCTCACTGAACTTTGAATGTACATTTAGTAGCATAAGTGATACATAAAAACTATTTTTTCTTAGCTCATCACCTTTATATTAAGAAATTAGCTCTCTGTCAGCTATATGATTGAAAATAATTTTTCCTGGTTCTTGTGTGTTTTTTGAAATAGTTTACGGAGGGTTGTTTTTTTTTTTTTTTGCAATATACAAATCACTTATTTTCATGTAGTTGAACTTATTTTTAAAGGATTCTTGGATTTTATATTTGGAAAGTTCTTCCCTATTCAATATAATTTTTTAAACCCCGCTTATTTAATTCTAGTATTTTCATTTTAAAAACAACACTTAGGCTGGTGTGGTGGCTCACACCTGTAGTCCCAGCACTTTGGGAGGCTGAGGTGGGCGGATCACGAGATCAGGAGTTTGAGACCAGCCTGACTAACATGGTGAAACCCCATCTCTACTAAAAATACAAAAATTAGCCGGGCATGGTGGTGCACGCCTGTAATCCCAGCTACTCAAGAGGCTGAGGCAGGAGAATTGCTTGAACCCAGAGGCAGAGGCTGTAGTGAACCGAGATCGCATCATTGCACTCCAGCCTGGGTGACAGAGCGAGACTCCGTCTCAAACAAAAACAAAAACAAAAACAAAACACTTAGTAAATTCTAAAGTATGTAAACATAAAGTACTGAACTACTAATATAATTTTCATCATTACAGAAAGATAGACATTTTAAACAAGAGGCCACTTCATGATTTTCCAAATGAATTACAAAATAAACAGAAAAAATGAACTCTACAAATGTACAGATTTGTGTTTGCCTGATATCAATGTCATCTTGAGTCTCTGAGTGCTCAGAGCAACCAAAAGTTAAAACTTAATGGAGCATTTCTTTTAGTACTTTGTAAAACAAATTCTAACACATTTCAACAATCAGAATGAGGCAGTTATATGTGGTTTCTCTCATTTAAGGGCAAACGTACTTTTTTTTTTTTGAGACACAGTCTCGCTCTGTTGCCAGGCTGGAGTGCAGTGGCACGACCTTGGCTCATTGCAGCTTCTGCCTTCCAGGTTCAAGCAATTCTCCTGCCTCAGCCTCCCAAGTAGCTGGGATTACAGGCACCCGCCACCATGCCCAGCTAATTTTTGTGCTTTTAGTAGAGACGGGGTTTTGCCATGTTGGCCAAGCTGGTTTCGAACTCCTGACCTCAGGTGATCTGCCCACCTCGGTCTCTCACATACGTACAATAAAGATCAAACTAGGACTGAAAATTAAAGCACTGGTATTTTGGATTTATGCAATTTTTTTATCCACAGCAATGAAAACATAAAAAATAAACATATATTGAAAAATGTAACATCATTATCAATAGAAATAAAAAAATATTAACAGGGAGGGAAGTGTAAAATCTATTTTAGAATATATTTCACCCAAAATACTAAACATAAGTAGTTCTGATGTTTAAAACAATAAACTTCATTGGTTGTAAACTTCACTTACATGTTGTTTCGTTACCTAGTTATGCCAAATAATGCTTTGCTACCAAATTATTTGCTTACCAGTCTTCTGGTTTGACGGCAGAAGGATCAGGAATTTTTGCTCTTTCATCCCATTCTTCAGGTTTTTTGTCACTGGGATCTTCAATTTCTTTGGGAGGGTTGATAGGAGGAACCACATCCTCAAGGAGGCTTCCTTTGTTTACAACTGTTTGATCAACTAACACCTCAAATGTGTCATCTGGATTCATCACTAAGGATAAATTTAAATATATTATAGTTATCATTTTGATGTACACTTTAAAGATAATCTTCTAAATAATGTAACTACCCTTAACTCCATGGGTAAAGCTTTTTTCCCAACCAGAAACAGAGGAATAACCAATGTAGTAAACCAAAATATTCTAAAATCACCAGATATATTTCCTAAATAAAGATAAAATTTTGTTTTAAACTGCATTTTTTACAATAAAATGCTCCATTACTTCTCAAATAAAAAATAATACCAAATAGCTCTGTTCTGGGACTCATAACGAGTCAGCTTCACTCTTTTATAGTTACAAGATACAAGCTAATCTTTTTCAGCATTTAATTTTTTTGATACAATCTTAAAGTGTTATAACACAAACAATTCATTTATTCTGTTCTAGTTATATTTTCTCATTATTTCTACAGTTTACTTGGTGTTCCCCAAAATGCCGTTTTATTTTTCAATTATTTCATAAAGATGTTTATTATATCACATCTGATATTGAAGATGAAATGGGCATTGCCCTAGCAGACAAAATGAATGTTTCTACAACTGCAGCATTTAGGGAAACAGATTGAAATACTTTAATCTTGGGTGGAGTTGAGACGTGAGAAAGGAAGCCGATAGGGCCATTTCAAAATGTCCTATTAGGTTCCAATATGCTCTGATTTTGATAGTGGCCCACCAGAGCTCTACAGACATTATACTTGAGAATGGGAGAAACAACTCCTTATAATGTCCCTCACCCCCATAGCTATGCAAATTCCTATTTACCTAAGTATATTAATATATGGCTGCTCAATGCTTTTCCTTTTGAAGTACATGCCACAACCAACACGAGGTAGAACATAACAATAATCACAACTACCTACAGGATAAAGTCTAAACTTTTTAGTCTGGCATTAAGGGCGTCTTCCTTTTTATTTTCTAGTTTTCTGTTCTTACAGCACCACTGTCACAACGTCTAAAATGTCCTTTCACCCTACTGTCTTCCACATTCTATCTGTACTTCAAGATGAGCTCAAATATAATCTTTCCTAGCTTTGTTCCAAGTCTCTAAGCTGGAAGTAATATTGCTTGTGAACTCTTAGCTGTGCCTTATCTCTCTTTCTTATATGGCACTTTATTTTCTACCTGTGCTGTCATTATACGTGTCCTATTTTCTGAAAAAGATAAGCTCCTTCAGGATGGGGTGTATGTTTGTTTTCTCGTAAAGCACTTGCCATGAATATATCAATAGTCAGCAAATATTTTTGAATACATGAATGAATTGAAAGGGTATACCAAGGGTATAAAGATGAGTCTTCCTGTCTGTAAAGAACTTTTTAAGGTCTACATCTGGAGGTTTGGCATGTTTCTCTTCAAAAACTCCAGTTTTGGGATGTTTATGTCTGAAGATAAAATGAAGTTTATAATCTTCTCCGCATTTATCTGGTCCAAACATAATGATATAGGATGTTCTATCATAAAAGTTTTCCTTCAAAGAGAGATGAGTGTTGGCATTAGTCCAGAATCAAAGAGTATTTAATGAATTTCTGTATTCTATCCAATGGGTAGAGTTTACAAAAATATATTAAATGATAATTCACCAAAGATCTAGCTATTTAATACAAGTGACAATAAAGGACGTGGAAAAACAACAAATTTTACTTCAATATAGATTTTTTAAAGTACACACTACTTCCTGAAGATGTAGGAAAGAAGCTGAAAATACTCTAGCAACATCATAATATGCTTCAATTCTCTATGTAAATCTATATTACTAATATTTTATTGAGAGAATTGGGCATTAGGGGAAAGCATATTTATGGCCTTAAGACTAAAATTGTTACCCATTACTATTATTTAGGAAGATATCAGAAAATGACCCTCTGAGGACAAGATGAAGAGAGATTTATTCAGACATAAAAACAGACAGGGGGACATGCATTTCTCTTTATTTGGCATGGCACAGTGGTTAACAGCATGGGGTATGGAGTCAGATACTGGGGTTCAAATCCTATCACTGCCACTTAAACTAGCTGTATGTCACCATGAGTCAATTTTTTAAAGCTCTCTGTACCTCCATTTCATCACCTCTGAAGTATGGAGATGATAGTAATACCTACCTTACAAGAGTTCTCTGAGAATTAAGTGAATTAATCAGATAAAGTGCTTATAGAAATACTCGGCATTAGATTTTTTTGTCATCCTACCTTCAAGTGTTCATCTAAAACAAGAGCTTCAACATATACTACAATGGTCTCTCCTTCACTTGATCCTAATAATAATGAGTAGTATATGAAAAAGTCTTCCATCCACATTTCATAGCTTATGTACAGACATGTGTTCTGAAAAACATACCCCTGATGTCTCATCCATCGTATTTCTGTTATATGTAGAAAGTCTGAAACAGCCATTTACAGGAGAAGGCTGTAAGAAATATCCCCAACCTTCCAATGTTCCTAATACAACCTCTTAGAAGTATAAAGCTACTTCATCATGAAAAGTTTTAAAAATTAGTTACTTTCTATGGGTTACTAACCCCTTTTAATTTGGTTCTTTGGCCATTTTGTTTCACTGCTTTACTTTGTTATACTTCTCTAAACAAACAAGAGTCTTATTCTGTAAAGAAAATAACTCTAAGCTATATTTCAAAAGAATTTATAAGTACCACGAAGTTTTTGTCCTACAGACATGGTAAACTTTTTCATGTCTTTAAAGATTATAAAATTGATGCCTTCAAGTAACACAGCTTTATATAAAACTTGAAGGCAAATTGTAAGAGCTATATAAATTCACATTGAAAAAAGATATCTACAGTTCTTTTCAATTTCAGTTGAAGATAAAAATGTTCACTTTTATCAATTGTTCCTTAAAAATACTTATTAACTTTAATAAGGTTTTCTTAAATATTGAAATATCATACCAGAATCAAATCATCAGTGTCTGCTAGGAGTTTAATGTATGCACCTCCACAATCAATACCATCTTGAAAATTTACTTCATATCTGAATAAAGGGAAAAAGAACCGTGCTACTGATAAATAAAAATTACCAATTGCTCTTTAAAATCTAATGTTATTATTTTCAATTCATGTAAGTATAAATTTTTTTACATTATCAGAAAGCTCATATAAAGCATATCTACAACCTATAGGAAATAAGCAAAAACAGTTTTCTACTACTGTAATACAAGACACACCAATAAAATATTAAAAATAGAATGATTACAATCAACTGCAGACAAACCAATCAATTTGTTTAAATTTTGTTCCATCAAAACTGATAAATTAAGAATAAGATACTGTGACTAAAACTACAACAGGAGATTTCAAATTCTGACAAGGTAGGCACTATACTTATACTTTATAAACTGAAAAAACAAAGGCCATAAGAACCACAGCTACAGCAAGATAAGAAATTGCTAATGATCTTAGATACCTAGAGTTCACTACACCTTACCATGTTAAATAAGTTGTACATTTAATTAAATAGGTCCAGCAAAGAGATTCATAATCTCAATCAATAAGCTGGCTTTCAGACCTAAATAGCCAGGAGATATGGGAAATTTTCACTGTTTAGTATAACAGCTAAAAGAATGAACATGAGTGTCTCTTACGAATTTACAACACAGTGTAATTCTCAGCAAAGTTTTTTTTATTTATTGGTAATTTTTAAACGGAAATAGCCTTGCTACGGCAATGAGGCATAGACTTACTGAAGAGATTTTTTTTTTTTGGTTAAATTAATGAATTATATGTGACAGAAATCAATGAGGAAATGGTTGTCAAACAGTAAAAACAAAAAAGGTTATGATTTCATTAAATGAATGAAAACAAAAAGACATGAAAACTAGAGAAACAACCAGAAATGATGATCATTTTAATAAAGGATTATAGTTGTAAATGTTTCTGAAGAAATTTAGTGACAAGAAGGTAAAACATGATAGCATACAAAATTTTAACAGTTTGAACTCAATTGGTGTATCTATTTTGTATTAAGAAACAGGAAACAAAATTTTAAGTACCTCTGATTTGAAAGGTGTGATTTTCCCCTATACTTTGTACCATGCTTTATTTCTTAAGCTATCTACAACAGTGGCTACATGCATGTACTTTAAAGACAAAATGACCTGAGAGTTATTCTTGATTCTGCCATTTACTCTAGTGACTCCTTGGGTAAGGGCAAGTCATTTAAGCTCTAAGCCTCTATTTGCTCATCTATAATATGCAGACATGGCCCATACTTACACCTTAAAGGATTGTTATGATGATTAAAGGATATTATGCCCCATGAGGGGCAAATACATGCTCAAAATGCTTCTATGATAATCAGAAGGAAGGTATTCTTTTGTTCTTTTTCATTTTTTAAATAGAACCTCAAAGTCTTATCTTTATTTTAAGCAATAGCTGACAAAATTTTGTTTTTCATGGAATTTAAGTATTTGAAGACTATAAGTAGAAGACATGGTGCATGATATGACTTAAAGGTCAATGTTTTCAGGAAAAAAATTAAAAAGATTTTGCTTTATAATAGGTTATCTGAGGACAGAGCGTTCTGTAAAAAGGTAAGAACTGGAAAAAATGTTTTGTACAGTGGCTTCATAAGTGTGAACATAGTTTCATTGCTCCATTATGCCTAGATTCAATCACTTTGTCCATTTCTTATACTGTAAACCTTCAGAGTTTTCAAATAATTAACTTTTACCTAGTATGAATGATTCACAATGGATTAGAGGATCAACAAAATGTTTATCATACAGCTTGACTGCTGCTAAACTTCCAGTCACAGGAAAACCAAGGGCATATGCATGGTATATGGTAACCTTAATTTCTTTAGAGTATCATTTCTCAAATTGTTCCATGAAATAGCAGTTATTGTTAGGTGGGAGAATAAACTTATGTGATCAAACATGTTTGGGAAACACAGTAGTAATGCTGAAAACAGGTTTTCATGTGCAGAACTTCTCAGTCTTTAATAAGCTAACATACTTCCTTTTATAAATTTAAATTTAAAATTTATTTATTTATTTATTTATTTAGAGACAGTCTTGCTCTGTTGCCCATTTACTCAGGCTGCAGTGTAGTGGCGTGATCTCGGCTCACTGCAAGCCCTGCCTCCTGGGTTCATGCCATTCTCCTGCCTCAGCCTCCCGAGTAACTGGGACTACAGGCACCCACCACCATGCCCGGCTAATTTTTTGTATTTTTAGTAGAGACGGGGTTTCACCATGTTAGACAGGATGGTCTTGATCTCCTGACCTCGTGATCCACCTACCTTGGCCTCCCAAAGTGCTGGGATTACAGGTGTGAACCACCATGCCAGGCCTTTACTTCGTATTTTTTTAAGTTAGGATATTCTTCATCTTATTCATATATACTAACATGTACACAATTTGGGAAAAGCAGCTTTATAGTAAAGTTATGTTGTAAATCAGCATTTATAGCATTTAATATAAATCTCTTCATTTTATTTACCCCATTTCATTTTATCAATATTAAGAGGAGACAAACATTCACTCTCCTTTGAATTGTTTTTAAACATGAAAGACTGCTATTCAATTCTTGATCCTCCTTTTTTTTTTTCTTTTTTCTTTTTTTTGAGGCAAGATCTCATCTGTCACCCAGGCTGCAATGCATTGGTGTGACCTTGGCTCACTGCTGCCTCCACTTCCTGGGCCTAGGTGATCCTCCCACCTCAGCCTCCAGATTAGTGGGACTACAGTTGGGCACCACCATGCCTGGCTAATTTTTTAAACTTTTTGTAGAGCTGGGGTTTCGCCATGTTGCCCAGGTTGGTCTTAAACTCCTGGGCTCAAGCTATCTGCCCACCTAGGCCTCCCAAAGTGCTGGGATTATACACATGAGGCACCATGCCAGGCATAATGGGGAGGTGGAGAGGTTGAAGGAAAGGATTATCTATAAGAATGTGACCTTTAAAAGGGGTCCATGCTTGAAAGACACTGGTATTCATAAACATTTATTTTCGAAATAAACTTTCTGCCTTTGAATCTTATCACTGGTTTAATAGCAATATTTATGATTCTATTCTGAATATATTAAGTTTAATAGTTTGATAAGAAGTAATTTTAAGAGTAAAACAAACATGATTTTTACTATGCATTATATAGTTTATGGCAGCAAAATTGTATATATTACAGTATATATCACATAATTTTAAAATTTTTTTAAGAGAGCCAAACTATTTACTCCTCATTTAGTCAATACAAGACTCAGACCTGGGCCGGGCGCGGTGGCTCAAGCCTGTAATCCCAGCACTTTGGGAGGCCGAGACGGGTGGATCACAAGGTCAGGAGATCGAGACCATCCTGGCTAACACAGTGAAACCCCGTCTCTACTAAAAAATACAAAAAACTAGCCGGGCGAGCTGGCGGGCGCCTGTGGTCCCAGCTACTCGGGAGGCTGAGGCAGGAGAATGGCATGAACCCGGGAGGCGGAGCTTGCAGTGAGCTGAGATCAGGCCACTGCACTCCAGCCTGGGCGACAGAGCGAGACTCCGTCTCAAAAAAAAAAAAAGACTCAGACCAAAGGAAATACACTGCTTAATAGCCCACATACAATTCTTTGAAATAAATATAAATATTAGTTCTAGGCCATAAGAATGGTTGATCTTTATATTATTTTATCATTTACCTGCTTTTCATTAAAGACACGGGTATGTTTGTGTGTATATGCACATTTGTGTATTTAACTAAGTGAAACGGAAAAGGAAGATCTAGATTTTTACATCCATTTTCAAAATACAAGCTATATTCAGAAGCCAAAGCTAATACAAAATTCAGAAAAAGTATTCCAAAATATAGCAACACTTACTGAACTATCAAGGGTTTATCAGCAAAAATGAAGGGTTTTGCTAATACAGCAGATATTGCATGATGCTTTGCTCTAGATTTTAATACCAGTCCTCTGTCACCAGGTACCTGGTTTTCTTTCAACTCTTCAATTTCCCATCTTCCTAAAAAAAATAAAGCAAAGCAAATTAAACTAAAACAGAAAACACTGACCTAAGAATTATTTATCAGCAGTTGTGAGCAATAATTTTTTCCAGGAAGGCTGACTTGGGAAAAATAAAAATTTTAAATCAGGAAATATCTTCAACTATATATGTATGCCTGCTCATTTATCTTTTTTTTTCTATCAAGGAATTATTTCATTTTCTTAACTAAAATTGTGAAAACTAATAGCAAACACTATAGTGTCTAATTAAGTCACTCTTAAAGCTGAATTAGTTTGGTTTTTCTATGAAAGAGTTTTTAATCAATGAAATGTGGTTTGTCTCAATAGGGTCAATATTGTATTTTTAAAATGACATATTTATAACTGCATATGACACAAAGAGCATCCTTAACACAAAATGAGTAGTCTATTTATTTTGAAATGCACAATACTCATCAGCTACTTTTCTTACTTGCAGCAGTTACTGTAAAGATTTAAAGTTCATTTTGAAAACTGCATGCTTAATTCACACAAACCCTTCTCAGGCTACACTAATCAGTTCTCAGAACTTTTGGCCAGGAAGGCAGCAAAGCACCGCATAAGCACTAAGCTATAACAAGGCAAAACTGAGTTAGGCCTTCTCTGGGTTACAATTTTCCATGTTAAGATCAGGACATTCCTGAAATTAGATTATGGGCCACATACAATGCAAAGCTAGGTGGGCTACCTGTAGCCCAAAAGTTATGTGTTAGACTTTACTCCTTTACCGGTTTTAGAATAGAAAATCAACTCATATTAATTTGTGTAAAATCTTGTGTTTTGAAAATTATAAGTATTGCCTATTCCAAGAAAATTCAATTCAGCAAAAACTGGCTATTTTCCAGTATTGTGTCAACTCAAAATATTTATTAATGAGCATTTTTGAATTACATATGCTCTTATATCCTTTTGTTTTCTTTCTAAGAAAAATAATGCAAGAACCAGACACAATCTTATAAATCAAAGAGGGCTAATTTTTGGTCTATAATTGTACATACATTTTTAGACTTTTAAAAATGTGTGTGTTTTTATTAAGTTTCCAAGTTTCTTTTCTTCACCCCCCCCCAATTTGGTCATATTATTTTTTGTGAAAAAGATAAAGGTACTTGGTTTTCTTTCTCTCACATTGATGGTGAATTGTATTATCACTAACTTGTAGTTTGCCCCTCGCCTGCTATAAAGGTCTTATTTTAAGAAGTAACAACTTTATCTGGAAGTCCTAGCCAGAGCAATCTGGCAAGAGAAAGAAATAAAGGACATATAAATTGGAAATGAGGAAGTCAAGCTATCACTGTTTGCTAATGATATGATCGCATACCTAGAAAACCCTGAAGACTCATCCAATAGACTACTAGACTTGATAAATGAATTCAATAAAAGTCTCAGGTTACAAAATCAATGTACACAAATCAGTAGTACTGCTACATAGCAACAACGACCAAACTGAAAATCAAATCAAGAACTCAATAACTTTTACAATAGCTGCAAAAAAATAAATAAATAAATAAAATCCCTAGGAATATTCCTAACAGAAGTGAAAGATCTATATAAGGAGAACTACAAAATACTGCTGAAAAAAAATCATAGATGACACAAATGGAAACACATCCCATGCTCATGGACTGGAAGAATCAATATCTTGAAAATGATCATTCTGCAGAAAGCCATCTATAGATTCAATGCAATTCCTATCAAAATACCAACAACATTTTTCACAGAATTAGGAAAAAAATCCAAAAGTTCATATGGAACCAAAAAAGAGCCTGAAGAGCCAAAGTAATCCTAAGCAAAAAGAACAAATCTGGAGGTATCACATTACCTGACTTCAAATTATACAAGGACATATTATCAAAATAGCATGGTAATGGTCTCAAGTAGACACACAGACCACTGGAAGAGAATAGAGAACCAGAAATAAAGCAAAATACTTACAACTAACTGATCTTTGACCAAGCATACAAAAACATAAATTAGGGAAAGGACACCCTATTTAATAAATGGTACTGAGAAAACTGGCAAGCCACATGTGGAAGAATGAAACTGGACCCTTACCTGTCACCTTATACAAAAATCAACTCAAGATGGATTAAAGACTTAAACCTAAGATCTGAAACCATAAAAATTCTAGAACACCAGAAAAACTCTTCTAGACATTGACTTAGGCAAAAAATTCAGGACAAAGAACCTAAAAGCAAATGCAACAAAAATGAAAATAAATAAATGGGACCTAATTAAACTAAAAAACTTCTGCACAGCAAAAGAAATAATCATCAGAGTAAGCAGACAACCCACAGAGTGGGAGAAAATATTAATAACCTGTGAATCTGACAAAGGACTAGTATCCAGAATCAAGAGACTCAAACAAATCAGTAAGAAAAAAATTAATCCCATCAAAAAGTAGGCAAATGACATAAATAGACATTTCTCAAAAGAAGATACAGAAATGGCCAATGAACATGCTTAGAAAATGCTCAACATAACTAATCATCAAGGAAATGCATATTAAAACCACAATGAGATACTACATTACCCCTGTAAGAATGGCCATTATTAAAAAGTCCAAAAACAATTGGCATGGATGTGGTGAAAAGGGAACATTTATACACTGCTGGTGCAATGTAAATTAATATAGCTTCTATGGAAAACAGCATGGAGATTTATTAAAAAACTGAAAGCAGATCTACTATTTGTCCAGCAATCCCACTACTGCTTCTACTGCTTTTTCTGTGCATATGAGGTGGTGTCCTTTTTGGACTAGATAAGCATATAGACATATATACACATACACACACATATATGTGTGTGTGTGTGTATGCATGCACAGGGGATTTGCTGGGATGGCGAACACGATGCAAAGGAAGACATGTAGGTATGACCTTTATCTTACACTAAACAGAAACTATGAAAAGGAATCAGACAGCTGACATCCAACATACTATCTGTTTTGCTGTTGTGATGTAACTGCTTATTGGGGTCTGAGCGCAAGGTCACATGTTTATGAGTATGAGGTCCTCTGAGAAAGAAGACATTACCACTATCAGTCACTGTGAGAAGAGGCCGATCGTGATTCAGCATATAACAATCAAGGAGGCTGGTTTTTAGATCACAAAGAAGAAAATAGTTGGTCATACTCTAAGGTAGTCCTGTTACGGAAGACAATATGACCCCTGCCTATAGGACATTTCTTTCTAGAGCTAAGACTGAAGATAATCCTATTAGACACCCTATGATAATGGATATAGGCCTGGAGATGAGGATTCCAGAAGTAGCCACATATCTTGTAGCTCTCATTAGTTATCCTCTGCTTTTTACTTGCTAGGAGAATCTTACCATAAATTATAATTTGATCTAGGTGTGTCTAGGCTTGAGATGAAACCATAGAGACAACAGTAGCCTGGGAAATACTGCTTCAGGAAATGCAAAAGACTAACCAGCAGTAGAATGAAAATTCAACTGTTCAGTTAGAAAACTAGATTAACTGGCTTAGGAGTGAGATTTTCAGAAATAGCAAAGGGGTTTTCAGAAATATTGAAGAGGGACAAGATAAAAGACTGAACATTTTATTGCGAGGCAGCATGGGGGACTCCAGCCAACACCATTTAACAAAAATATAATCTCAAAAGTTAGTGAACTCCAGGCCATACCGGTTATATCTAATACTTAAATATTTTACCATCGTATATCGAAATCTCCTCATCCATGTCATCTTTCTTTGCTTTTGATAAGACCCATCTGTAAACAAAGTTGAACATACATATATGTCATTAACAATAAAATCAGCAACTTATAGATATAATGCATACAGAAACACAACAAAAGATCACCCAATACAGTCACTTTTCATTCAACAATAAATTCATACTTAGATGCTAAATAAGGATGCCTTCACCACATAATCCTGGAGGACTAGAGTTAAACCGAATTTGGAATCTATAATTTCCTAACTGTATGACCACAGGTAAGGTACAAGGAGCCTCGGTTTCTTCACTTGTAAAATGGGGATTAAATATGGTAATTATCTATTTCTTTTTAGGACATCTGACACATAATAATTTTAATATTAATTTTTGTTTTTTCCATTATTGTAATAGAACAGTACTCATATTTGTCATCTGAACTTAAAGAGTGTTAATATCTGTCCTACAGAATGAATACATATGATAAATTTCATCTTTACATTCAGAATTAGTATATTTTCTTTGAATAAATAACTATTCAAATTAAACATTCTATCAATTACAAAAATATACTAAGTACTGATTTACATTGTCAATTAAACTACTTTAATTTTTTTTTTAGATCTGTAATAGAGGTAATTTTCACAGGTCAAAACCTAATAACTTCAAAAAAGCTAATAAATCAAAACATTCTCTTGAATGAATACTCACCCAGCCAACCTTCCACTATCAAAAGTTTCTGCAAAATATACTTCTCCTATAGGTTGAGGTGTCTTATATTTAATCTAGAAAAGAGATTTTCCAAGTCTAAAGTTATTCATTTTCACAAATATTTCAATTAAATAATCTTCCTAGTGAAGAACATAGTATGCAATGCACATACAGGTAATACAGATATGAGGTGACAAACCCATACCTGTACAAAACTTTGTATCCTAGTAATGATAAGGTACAAGAAAATATAAGAAATACCATGATGACAAAAATACTATACATACAAACAGTGGATACACTGACCCCTTCTAACACAGAAGGAACAAAGGGACTCTGACAAGTGACAATATTTGTGGATAAAACTCTTTGGGAGCAAAGGAAATAGCATAATGAAAAGCATATAAGATGTAGAGCTTAGTAAGCACATAGGCTTTTAAAATTAACTCTTAAGTTTTACTGTTAGGTACCCTAAAATATAATAATATAATTTTACAAGATTAGGAACCCAGAGAATGAAAAGATTCTATGGAGATAGCATTGCAAAACAATGATCAACAAAGCATTGTTTCAAGTGCCTTTGAAGTGTTAGCTGTTAGGGTGGCAATAATGATGACGGTGGCAGTGGTATTGCTGGTGATATAGTGGCTCCTTTAATTCTTATAATATTCCTATGGGGGAAGTACCATTTGTGCCCTCTTTATATATGATGAAATTGGGACAGACAAAGTAACTTGCTTACTGCTGTCCAGTTAGATAATTGTAGGACTTATATATAAAGCCAAAACTGTCTGATTCCAAAGCTCATGCATTTTTACTACATGATACAGAATTTACCAACAAAATAATTTAAAAGAGTAAAGACTGATAAACTATCAAAAGATAATTTAAACTGAGGACCAATAAATAAAAATTTGCCCACAGTAATAGGTTAGTCTGGATCCTCTCAGAATCAGCCTGTTGTGATTGTATCTGTATGACTAGTGAGATTTCTTCCATTAGGCTTTAGGGAAAAGGGTGCAGAAATACTTTTTCTATTTTCACTGTCCCTATCCCACCCTGATAGTAAAACACTTCCTGTCTATTTAAGGGGGTAAAATCGGTAATTACACAAAATTCCACAAATTACTGACAGGGTCAAGATTCAGCTACCTAAACTGCCAATCTTCTATGAAGTTTACTGAATTACAACTTTACTGTTCTCTGTATTTTTATAGATTGACAAAATGGGCAACGGTGTCACAAGAGACTTCCTTCTGATAGGCCACCCCTAAAATCAGTTTATTTTGCCCTTTATTTATACTTCACCCTATGTAGATTACTCATGCTATAAAATTAGCAGCATCAAAAATAATTCTTTCCCACTTCTTATCATATTCTCAAAGTATCACCAAATAAGTCAAGAGTGGTAGTTACCTGTCAATTTCTTTGAAGTATTAATATTAACCTTCAAAGATCCTGTGGTAACTGTATCTAAGTCAGTAATTATTAGTACTTGGAGTACTTACTTTCTGCAGATTATAGAACTAGGCTTTAAAAAATTGTCCTTACAGAGCTTAAATTTAACAGGGGAAACATACTATTCATCTTAGTGAAATAACACATTTGCAAATGAAAAATTCTTAATAAGAGGAAATGAAGTAAAGAAGTCTGTAACAACTACATATTATTCCCTTTGGCCCTTCAAACAGTAGCTGGCACAATACAATTAATGCTTTCTCACCATCAAAAATATTTCTGATTATCACAAGGTTAGATATGAATATTTCCCAATGTAAAAGCTCTTATGTATCATCAAGGTATACAAAAATTCCTGCAATTTCTCAGACTCCTGTTAATCACTACTCTAAAATACATGTTTTAACAATGCTGAGACAGAAACATGAGTCAGGTTTACCAAATGCTCACCCCTCACCATCACTTCCTTTTCTAATTCATCCTCCTTCTTGGCATTTTCTTTCCTCAGAGAAATAAAGACAAATACTTTACTTCTTGAAGAATTGCAAATTATATGGCCTTTTATTTGAAAAGATCTAGCAGTGTCAGAAATATGAATAAAAACCTTACTACTAGCTCAGTTCTCTGTAATCAGTGACAAACTCCTCTTTTTTTTTTTTTTTTTTTTTTTTTTGAGACGGAGTCTCACTCTGTCGCCCAGGCTGGAGTGCAGTGGCCGGATCTCAGCTCACTGCAAGCTCCGCCTCCCGGGTTCACGCCATTCTCCTGCCTCAGCCTCCCGAGTAGCTGGGACTACAGGCGCCCGCCGCCTCGCCCGGCTAGTTTTTTGTATTTTTTAGTAGAGACGGGGTTTCACCGTGTTAGCCAGGATGGTCTCGATCTCCTGACCTCGTGATCCGCCCGTCTCGGCCTCCCAAAGTGCTGGGATTACAGGCTTGAGCCACCGCGCCCGGCCGCGACAAACTCCTCTTTTGATAGTAAAAACCTTGCCCATATTTATTTGTTTAAGAAATTGTGCTAGATGCCATGAACACATTTCTGAAGTACGTGGGCTCTCTAAAAAATAAAGTAATAAGACGTTTAGAAAAAAATCAATGTTTTTCTATCTGTCTTTAAAATGAAGACTACTAGAACTGAAATGAATCATCAGAGGTCTATCACTTCATTGTACTATGTAAAGGAACAATTTATGACTCATTTCTCAAATAACCATACCTCTGAGGAAAGTTCACCTTCATTAACATCAGTTTCTTCTGAATTTTCTTCTAAGTCTTCCATCTCAACATCATCATCCATAAATTCTGCATTAATTGAGATGAACAGAAGACCCAAGCATAGCCAAAAGGCTTGGAAACGCATATTGATTATCTGCGAAATTAAAAGTAATTAGTGAAAATAAAACAAAATTGTGAAAATAAGTGTTAAGTATATGTAGAAATAAATAATTTCTCCATAATAGCTCTTTTATTCTAGGATGGCTTTTAAAACAAATCATTGACAAAATTATTTAAAATACGCTTTGGGCAAGTGAAAATACAAACTAGAAATCTTTTAGGAAACAGATTCTACAGCTGCAGGCCTTTGTCCAAAAACAAAGAGCCAACAGCACAGAATCTAAAGATAAAGATGATAGTAATTATCAAACACAAATAATATGTAGACCTCTTTAAAAGAAAAAGTATCATGATTCCTAAATGTTCGCTGAAATTGTTTTTATTGTAATGTTGCTTATATAAACATAAAATGGAAATTTTATAATTATAAAACCAAAATACATTTATATATAAATGCTGAAAAAAGATACAAAAAATGTTTTATCACAAATTTAATGTGGAAGTGTTTTACTAAAATCAAATCACAGTCAAAAGATCAAACAAATATAAGGTTTATTGTAATCAGGTAGACTGCTATAGAGAAAGTTCTTTTGCATTTATAATTCCTATAATTTCATGATTACATAATTACTTATATATTTATGGACAAAGATAACACAAAAATGATGGATGCTGTCATTAATTAGGAGACTTTGATCTCTCTAAATCACAAAAGAGGTATAACTGGGATAGGACGTAAATGTAAAGGGATCAATTTGACACAATGAAATAGGCTTATTTCCTTAATTTCCTAGTTATTGGCACAGAAACTTATATATCTGCAAATTGCTTATTAATTGTGAACTCTAAAAGCTTCATTATTCTAAAAGTCTAAGATCCTTCCATGTTATGTAGTAAAAGGTACTTTACTTGACTTGCTATTAATCAGTTTTGAGCAAAATAAAAATGCATAAACAGTAGCAATAACAAACATTAATATAACTTTAGACCCATATCCTCTCTTTCAAATGAATATATACTTTAGGTTCCAAATAATTAATTTGTTGAAAAAATACATTCTACGTGCTTTGTTTGAGCTCTGGTGTATTGGGCTGCCAAGGAAGAGTTAAGAGGAAGTCAAGCAGGCAGTGCTCTATCTGGAACTCTACTCTTGATTCAACCAGAGCACCCCAATTTCATTTGTATTCTATATTATGGTTTTTCCTGACTTTTCCTTAGAAATAGTTGCCAATGCTTCAGAAAAAAAGTTCAGAAAACACTTTATCTTAAAAGTTTGTTTCTTCTTTAAAATTCTATGGTCTTATATTTACATAAAAGAACTAGCTAATTTAATCTTTGCGGCCCAGGACATGAATAGAGTAGGTACTATTCCCAATCGACAAAACAAAAACAGAGACTTCTAAAGAACTGCAATTAGTTACAAGGCATTCTGTAGACAGTGCAGTTCTATTGTTTTTATTTGTTCTTTTTTTTAAGAAAAAATCAGAAATACAGACTTCATACTTTCTGTGTAATGCTGCAGTATCCTATCATTTTTCAATGCTGCACCAGCTGACAATTGAGAATTAGATCATGAAATTCACAGTATTGAAGTCTGTCTCAAAATGGTGCCAACATGTTATCAGTTCCAAACAAAACTATGAAGTTTGTCACATGTCATTTCTTAGAGAGAGGTATGCTACTGACAAGTCTGTTCTGAAACTCTGAGAGGCCAGATGCTGGGGTAATACTATAAGAAAATGAAGTAGTTAATTTATGCATTTAAAATTGTTTTAAATCGCATGGTAAAATATATTCTCATTGTTGTACAACTAATTTCCTAAACTTTCTTCATGCTCTAAAACTAAAGCTCTATACACATTTAACAACTCCCCACTACCCTGTCCCTCCAGCCCCTGGAAACCACCTTTCTAATATCTATCTCTATGATTTTGACTACTCTAGGTACTGCATATAAGTGGAATCATACAGTATTGGTCGTTCTGTGACTGGCTTATTTTACTTAGCATAACACCCTCAAGCTTCATCCATGTTGTAGCATGTATCAAATTTCCTTCCTTTTTAAAGCTGGACAGTATTCTATTGCGTGTATATACCACATTTTGTTTATACATCCATCCGTCAGTGGACACTTGGGTTGCTTCCACCTGTTAGCTGTTGTGAATAATCCTACAATGAATATGGGTATACAAATAACTCTGAGACCTTGTTTTCAATTATTTTGAGTGTATACCCATAAGTTGAATTGCTGGGTCATATGATAATTCTATTTTTTTTTTGAATCCTCATACTGTTTTCCATAGTGGCTTTACCATTTTACATTCCCACCAACAAGGCACAAGGGTTCCAATTTCTACACATCCTTGCCGACATTTGTTCAAAATTATGTGGTTTTTTTTTTTTTTTTTTTTTGATAGTAGCCATTCTAATAGGTCCTAATATGGGGCATCACATTGTGGTTTGATATGCATTTCCCTGATGATTAGTGATACTGAGCAGCTTTTCATGTGCTTGTTGGCTATTTATACATCTTCAAGGGAAACATGTCTATTCAAGTCCTTTGCCTATTTAAAAAATCAAGTTTTGTTCTTGTTTTGAGTTGTAGGAGTTCTTAGAAATTCTGGATACTGACCCTTTATCAAATACATGATTAGCAAATATTTTATCCCATTGCATAGGTTTTTCATTCTGTTGTGTTCTTGATGCACAGAACTTTCTAATTTATTTTACAATTTATTCGAGTTAATTTTTGTCTGTGATTTAAGGTAAGGTTACAACCTCATTCTTTTGCATGCGGATAGCTAGTTTCCCCAATATTATCTCATGAGAAAACTGTTCTTTCTCACAAAATGGTCTTGGCACTTTAAGAAAATATTTGAACATATATGTGAGAATTTATTTCTAGGCTCTTTATTGTATCCCATTGATATATATGTCTGTCTTTATGCCAATCTCACACTGATTTGATTGCTATAGCTTTGTAATAAGTTTTGAAACATCGAGATACGAGATTTCCAAACTTTTTCTTTCCCGAGATTGTTCTGGCTAGTTGGGGTCCCTTGAGATTCTAACTGAATTTTACTCTTCCTGCAAAAAGGGCTATTAGGATTATGATAGGGATTGCACTGAATCTGTGGATTACTTTGGGTTGTGTTTCTATCTTATTAAGTCTTCTAATCCCAATGAACATGTCTTTCCACTGATTAATATTTGTTTCTTAATTTCTTTCAGCATTTCATAGTTTTTCATGTACAAGTATTTTACTTCCTTGATTAAATTTGTTCCTATTTTATTATTTTTGATGTTGTTATAAGTGGAATTGTTTTCTTAATTTCCTTTTCATTGTTAGGATACAGAAGTGCAGCTAATTTTTGTGTGCTAATTTTTTTACCCTGCAACTTTAGTGAATTCATTTGTTTGTTTTTTGAGATGGGGTCTCACTCTGTTACCCAGGCTGGAGTGCAGTGGCACCATCATGGCTCACTGCAGCCTTGCACTCCTGGATTCAGGTGATCCTTCACTTCAGCCTCTAGAGTAGCTGGGACTACAGGCAAGCATCACCATGCCCAGCTAATGTTCTGTATTTTTATGTAGAGATGGTTTTTGCCATGTTGCGCAGGCTGGTCTTAAACTCCTAGACTCAAACGATCTGCCTACCTTGGCCTCCAAAAGTGCTGGGACTACAGGCATGAGCCACCATGCGTGGCCTTCATTTATTATTTCTAACAGATTTTTGTATTGTGTTTGTGATATCTTACGTACAAGATCATGTTATCTGCTGAGATAATTTTACTTCTTCCTTTTCAATTCGAATGTCTTTTTTCTTTCTTTTTCTTCCCTAATTTCTCTGGCATGGGAGAGTGGAAAAAGCAGGCATCCTTGTCTTATTCTAGATCTTAAAGGAAAAGCTTTCAGTCTTTCACCATTTAGTCTGATGTTAACTGTGGGCTTTTCATATATGGCCTTTACTATGTTGAGGTGGTTTCCTTCTATTCCTAGTGTACTGAGCGTTTTTTTTACTATGAAAGAGTGTTGAATCATGTGAAATACTTCTTCTGCATGAATAAAGATGGCCATGTGTTCTCACCTCTCTACATTGTTAATGTGGCATATTACACTGATTTTCTTATGTTAAATCATCCTTGAATTTTAGGAATAAGTCCAACATGGTCATAGTATACAACTCTTTTAATATGCTGCTGACTTCTGTTGTCAAGTATTTTGTTAAGAATTTCTGCATCAATAACCATCTGGAATATTGCTCTGTAGTTTTCTTGTAGTGACTTTGGCTTTGATAACAGGGTTATGCTGGCTTCATAGAATGAATCTGGAAGTGTTTACTCCTCTTCAATATTTTGGAAAAATTTGAGGAGAACTGGTGTTAATTCTTCTTTCAATGTTTGGTAGAACTCACCAGTGAAGCCACCTGGTCCTGGGCTTTTATCTGCTGGGAAGTTTTTGTTTACTGATTCAATCTCCTTACCAGTTATGGGTCTGTTCAGATTTTCTACTTCTTCATGATTAAACTTGATAGGGTGTGTGTTTCTAATAATGTATCCATTTAATCTAGATTATCCAATTTGTTGCCATACAATCCTTCAGGGTATTCTCTTATAATCCCTCTTATTTCTGTAGAATCAGATGTAGTGTCCTTTCATTACCAATTTTAGTTATTTGAGTCTTCTCTCATTTTTCTTAATCCAACTAAAGGTTTGTTATTTTTTGTTGTTGTTGTTGACCTTTTCGAAGAATTAACTCTTGATTTCACTTGTTTTCTCTCTTGTTTTTCTGTTTTCCATTTTGTTTCTCTCTGCTCTAATCTTTATTATTTCTCTCTTTCTTCTAACTTTTGGGTTTCATTTGATCTTTTTCTAGTTCCTCAAGGTGTAAGTTAGGTTGTTAACTTGAGATCTTTTGTCTTTCATGTAAGTGTTTACAGCTATAAATTTCCCTTTTAACACTGCTTTCACTGTATCCCGTAAGTTTTGGTATCTTTTGTTCTCAATTTTCATTTGTCTCAAGATATTTTTCTAACTTTCCTTAAGACTTCTTTGGCTCATTGTTCAAGAGTGTGCTGTTTAATTTCCACATATTTGTGAATTTTTCTTGTTTTCCTTCTACTATTGGTTTCTAGTTTCTTTCCTTTGTGTTCAGAAAACTTACTTTGTATGATTTCAGTCTTTTAAAATTCATTAAGACTTGTTTTGTGGTCTAATATGGTCTATCCTGGAGAATGTTCCATGTGCAGTTAAGAAAAATGTGTGTTCTGCTATTGTTGGGTACAGTGCTGTCCATATGTTTATTACATTGAGTTGGCTTGTGGTGTTACCTATTTCTTTATTGATCTGTATGGTTGTTCTAAGTTATGCAATTTTAGTACAGCAAGAATTTGTTTATATGGTATAGGGTAGAACATTTAGTGCTAATGTCACCCTCTTCCCTCCTTATAAATTAAAAGGTAGCATGCCCAGGGTTCCAAGCTTCTTATGTATTCCTCACTCCATGAGGCTTGCTGAGATCACTAAATATCAGTTGTGCCTTCATAAGAAGGGAGGCACTAAAGAACTGCATCCTTCTGCACCAACACGTATCTTTGATCTCATGTATGTTCTCTGCACTGCTTCTGTGCTAGTTCAATAACAAATTGAAGCACAAGTAACTTTATCCATGAATGAGATACCATTCTTCCCAATCTTTGAAATCTAGATCAAGTAGTCTGGTCTACTTTAAATAATTACACCAATATCACCTAAAAACCCTACTGGATCTCCACTACCACCCCCAAATTACAAATTATAAAGTACAGCTCATGTACTGGTATTGAAGTAAAGCTCACTGTCACATCAAAGGTAAGTAGGGCACACAAAGAAAAGACAATCACAGGATATGTAATATCTGTTGTAAAATGTGGGAGAAATTGCTGGCTGATCAACAGGGTAATTTCCTTGGCACTAGATGTGACCAGGGAAATGAATTCCAGCCAATAGAATGTAAAATAGAAGACCTGTATGCCGCTGTCAGCCCTTGCCCGTAAAAACTTCCCATAAGTATGATTTATAATTCTTTATGATCTTTCCCCATCTGGTTTGATGCAAGTAATTTTGAAAATCATGGTTGAAAATGGCAGAATTACAAGGTAGAAAGTTGCAGAATCCCTGAATCATTACTTGGAGGAGAGCCATTTTATTAATCAGAGAAGCAGAATCAATTGGGTGTGTGTGTGTGTGTGTACATACAGGCATACCTCATTTAACTGCACTTTGATTTATTGCATTTTTCACAAATTGAAGGTTTCTGGCAACGCTGCATTGAACAAGTCTACAGTTGCCATTTTTCCAACACTATGGTCACTTTATGTTTCTGACACATTTGTGTGATTCTTTTTTTTTTTTTTTTTTTTCCTGAGATGAAGTCTTGCTCTGTCACCCACGCTGGAGTGCAGTGACACAATCTCAGCTCACTACAACCTCTGCCTCTTGGGTTCAAGTGATTCTCCTGTCTCAGCCTCCTGAGTAGCTGGGATTACAGGCGTGCACCACCATGCCTGGCTAATTTTTGTATTTTTAGTAGAGACGGGGTTTCACCATATTGGTCAGGCTGGTCTCGAACTCCTAACCTTAGGTGATCCAGCCGCCTTGGCCTCCCAAAGTGCTGGGATTACAGGCGTAAGCCACCGCGCCCAGCCTTCTTTCATTCTCAACACACCTATTTAACACACTTCTGTACATGCTATTTCTTATAACTGCGATGCCTTTCTGCTGTTACTCAGTTTTAATGGCTGACTGAGGATGGGACCAACACTGGCATATCCCAGAAGTGGTGTTTGACAATCACCTATTATTTAAAGTTTTAGTTTTCATGTGGCGTCAGGAATGCAACGTAGAATGATAGAATAAAAAGTACACTGAACATGGCACCACCGCACCAAGTTTCTAGTTTTATTATTAAAAAGGCAAGTGATTAAAACTGCTCTGCACCTGTTTTCTCATTTGTGACATGAACTAGACAATCCAAAGATTCTTTAAAGTTCATAATTCTAGTTTTCTATTTAAAAACACCAATATTTATTAGGTACTTAGTACTACAGCTAACTTACAACACTGTTCAATTTCTAGACAGATGTATCAACATATTTACATCATTTACACACAGTAATTAACCTTATCAACTAGCTAAGACAGAGAGTACGGAAAATCTTGTTCTGAGGATGAGATCTAAATGTGACTGGAAGATCAAAGCAATACGACGTGAAGGCCAAACTGCAAACTGAAAAGAGGTCAAACTCTCAATGACCCAAAGGAGGGCTACCTCGAGTGATGTCGACATTTGTAAAGCAAGCAAAATCATCAGATGAGATCGGGATTTTGCCTGCTTTTAAGCAACAAAAAGTTTCTATGTTAATGAACCCTCTTCTAATTTGAGACTTCTTCCCGAGGCCACATTATTTACCTTTTCTCTCCCAGTCCTGAGCTTTGGTTGCCATTTGCTTTTAACTCCCAAGCAAACACCTCCTCCTTGTTGCTTGGGCAGCTGCTATAAATAAAATCAGCGAAAGTGTCTGATTGATGGTAAACAGGCCTGGGGCGATAATGAGTCTAGTAATTAGGGCCTCTCTGGATTCAACCCAGCCCTTTCGCCCGCCCCCCGGCGGCGCACACTGGGCTCCGCGCGGGTATCCAGGGAGGGGCCGACAGTCCTTGGCCCCACCGCGTTGAGGTGGGTTCGCTTCGCTTCCACAGAGGTGGAGACTGCGACAGTCGAGCCTATTTTGGTCTCGTTTGGGTTTCTGTGAGGAGCAGTCAGCGGAGTGAGCAGCGCCCGGACGCGCCCCGGGCCCCCTCCACAACCACTGGGAGAGCGCCCCGGGGCTCGAGCGTGTAACGGGGCCGCAATGGCAACCGCTGGGATAACGGCCTCGGCTCCCGGTGGCTCCTCAAGCCAGCAGGGGAGGCCGTCTGGGCAGGGAACCTAGCTGTCCCGGCACCCGTCCGCCCCAGCCCGGGCGCAGCAGGTGGACGCCGCGGTGCCGGAGACACAAAAGGAGCGACCGATCCCCTGCGTCCACCCACGGGGCCGCCAGAGCCCAGTCAAGACCCTAGCTCGCTGCAGCCCCATCGCCAGACTCAACATCCACCCTCACCTGGCCCGGACCGGTTCAGCCCTCTGGCGGCAAAATAACTGGGTGCCTGGGGAAGCAGCAATGATCCGCTTCCTCACCCAATCCGCGCGCAAAGGGCAGCGGGACAGCGGAAACGCGGCCTGCTGCTCACGCACCTCTCTTGTGGCCTGTTTTCGGCAGTGACAGCCCAGATGTCCGAGTCGCTGCCACTTGGTCCCCGCGTCTCTTCAGACCAATCCCGCTGGCGGCCACACAGCAGCGACTACTAACCGCGCATGCGCGTGCGGCGGCGGGCGAGAGGCGGCGGCTGTCCCAGGCGCGTGCTGCGCGCTCCTGCTCCGAGGGGCTCAACCGCCTCCAGGGGGAGCGGCACAGCGAGCCTGTGCCGCCGCCGGCCGGTTGTGGAGTGAGCCCCGCTCCCGGGTTAGCCGAGGAGGAATTCCTCCTGCAAGTCTGAAGAGTTTTCCTTCTCTGAGCGCCCGCCCTCTCTGCAGACCGTGCGGTTCTACCTCCTGTTGCTCAATGCTTGGGTCCTGAATTTTATGTAAATCATATTTATGAACAACGTCCAGTAATAAGTGCAGCAAGATTAGGGCTCTAGGCTTTCTCTAGAGTTCTAGATGTTAACAGATCTGCAGTCGTGGTGATTAATAAGGAGCTTTCCTGTCTGGTGTGTGTATATGACAAATACAGATATGTTAAGTGTTAATAAATACATTGTATATAAAACAATATGTTCTTTTTCTCTCCAACAACACTATTAATAAGAGCTGCTAACATTTATTGTGTTCATTGTGCTCTAAGGGGCTTACATTCATTGTTTAACCTTCATAGCAACCCAGGTGATGAAACTGATGATAACTTGCTCGAAGTTACACAACCCGTAAACAGTGGAAACAGGATGTAAATCAGGTCTGTCTCTCCCAGAGCCTGCAGTTTCAATCACATTGAAATAAAACTACAGCATAAACGCAGTGTTCAATCACAAGCTGCTTTGCCTTTTATATATTGGATAATTCAGCTTTTACTACTTATATTTTACAGTAAATCTTGACTTTGAATTTGGTATAATACCAATTTAATTTTATCAGAAGATTAATTAACAACGTTTGATTGACTTGTGAGACTAACACCCTTGTTGAAGAGTCTCAGTCTTGAAGGACTGGTGGCATTCCGTGCACACCGTATCATTATTGGCTGGGGTCAAGATCACTGAGTTTTTTTTCACATTGCTTTACTAATTAAGACCAGCATTTCTAAACTTTTGACTTTGTCACCTCTGGGAGAGTGTTTGGATAGTGTTAAAATTTACTGGTTAAAAAGACATTTGAGATACTTTGTAACAATATTATACCCTTTATTTCTTTCTTCCATCCTGACTTCTATTATTCAACATACTTCTGTGGCCCATAACAAATACACTTGAACTGCTAGAGAAGGATTTTTTTAAAGGATCCATTCAAAGTTTGCAATGAAGAAGCTGAAAACTAAAGATGTAAGAATAGTGAATTTTTGTAAGATTTAGTAGTATCTTCTTGGTCACATAGTACTCAAAACCTTGAGAACTTTTTTTTTTTTTTTTTTACTCTTTGGCTGCTACTTTCACTGCCTCCATAAATTAAACTCTATCTCCATAAAATCATCTAAAAGAGGTCCTCACCCCCTTCAGCTGCTGTGCCATTTCTCTAGTTTACATTCTCACTCCTTTAGAAACTGTTGCTCAGAGTTGTCTAACTAGTTGCCCCCCTTCAGAGCCTCCCACCTACACTTCATAGTTGAATCCTCAGCTCATTCAATAGTTTCCAATGACCCTTCATTACCCACAGAATGAAATCTAATCTGTTACCTTGAAATTTAAGGTCTTAACATATTTCCAAAATTATCTGCCACTTATTGAAAGGATGATTGAATATAATATTTATAATTTTGTTTAATAGGCAACTTTTCATCAGAATAATACAGTGTGATAATAATGTCAAAGAATAATCTGAAAATGAGACCGGGGTATGACTTTTTGAGCATGAGGTAGTGTTTAATAATACAAGGGGAGGAGTCTCAGAAGATAATGCTGAATGGTAGAGTTGTGAAGTGTTCTGACACATCAAAGTTGAAGAGAGATTTGGGAAGAGACCAAGGCGATGTAATCAAGATTGGAGGGACCAGAGTAATCAGAAATCTAGAAAAACATAAAAAGCAGGAAAGGTGACGTGGCATGGTGACTCATGCATGTAATCCCAGCTCTTTGAGAGGCTGAGGCAGGTAGATCCCTTGAGCTGAGCTGCCTGAGACCAGCCTGGGCAACATGATGAAACCCCATCTCTACAAAAAATACAACAAAAATTAGCTGGGCATGGTGGTGCATGCCTGTAGTCCTAGCTACTTGGGAAGCTGAGGTGAGAATGGCTTGAGCCCAGGAGGCAGAGATTGCAGTTAGCCCAGATAGTGCCACTGCACTCCAGCCTGGATGACACAGTGAGACCTTGTCTCAAACAAAACAAACAAACAGAAAAAGGCAGAAAGTTTCATGCTACTTGATGGAACAGAGTGATGTCCTGTTGGAAGCCTGTTTTGTAATCAAAATCAGAGCTGTGTTTTATTAATGGTCTACTATGTGCAAGTTGTTATATGCAGTTGACCCACAGGTATCATCCTTATTTTACTTATAAGGAAATAGACCCCAATCAGTTACATAACTTATTCACACAGGCCTTAAAATGTAGAGTGAGGATTCAAAGCTTGTGCTCTTTCCACAACACCTTGCCACTTGAAAAATGCAGAATATAGGAAATGCCTCTGATTCTCAGGATTAAAGAACTATGTAGAATGAAGTTTTAACTCAAATACAACGAAGGGACTCAGAGCCTAGATAATTCAAATAATACTTTAAAATGTTTGTATAGTTTCATATATTTTGAAATGTGCTTTTTAATGGTGCAGAGAATAGAGAAAAGGAAACAAGTATTCCACAAGTATTTCCAGTGGGTTGATTTTTATTTTTAAGGTGTATAATTATGTCTATGGCAGAAAATAATCTTTTCTTTCTTATATTTATACTTATTTTCTGAGGTTTTTTCCCTTATTGCTTTAACAAAAATATCAAACAATAGTAAATAATAGTAATGACAATAGTCATCGTTGTTTTGTTCCTGGTTTTTCCCAGAATTCGTCTGGTTAAACTATATAGTTGGCAGAATGAGCCCATGCTGAATTTTTATCTTGTGTCTCAAGATAAAGCCCCCCAGAAATGCCACCCGACTTCAGGATTTATAGAATGATATACAGTCATAGTTATCAAAGAGTTATCAAAGAATATTAGTATCAAGACAAATCAATGGGACAGAATAGATTCTATATGGACTTACATGTGTATGTATTATGGCCTAGATATGGTTGCTTTGTCCCAACTAAAACTCATGTTGAAGTTTGGTCCCCAGTGTGGCAGTGCTGGAAAGTGGGGCCTAATGGGAGGTGTTTGGGTCATGAAGGTCCTGTTCTCGTAGGTGGCTTGATGCCATTTCAGTAGTGAGTGAGTTCTTGCTCCGACGAGACTGGATTCATTCCCATGAGAATGGCTTGTTATAAAGCTAGGTGCCCCTCAGGATTTTCCCTCTTTGCATGCTCTGCTTCCCCTTTGACCTTCTCTGCCATCTTTTGGCCAAGCACAAAAGCCTCACCACAAGCCAGAGCCGTGTCCTTGAACTTCCCAGCCAGTCAAACTGTGAGCTAAATAAACCTCTTTTCTTTATAAATTACCCAGTCCCAGGTATTCTGTTATAGCAACACAAAACAGACTAAGACAGTGTTGACAAAGGTATACATGCAGTTGGTAGAGAAAGAATAGTCTTTTCAACAAATTGTGGTGGTACAATTGAATTTTCACATGTAATAAGTAAATTTTTCAATCCATACTGCACAGCACATATAACAAAAGAGACTGGCAGCAATTTCCCCTTGCCTTAGATATTTGTGGAACTTTGAACTTGAGGGAGATGATTTAGGGTATCTGGTGTAAAAAATTTCTAAGCAGCAAAGCACTCAAAAGGTGGCATGGGTGTTATTAGAGGCATTCAGTTTTAAAAGGGTAACAGAAGATAAAAGTTTTGAAAATTTGCAGCCTGACAATGTGAGAGAAATGAAAATCCCCACTGCAGAAATTTGCATAAGTAGCAAGAAGCCAAATGTTAATCCACAAGACAATGGGGAAAATATCTCCATGGCATGTCAGAGGTCTTCATGTAAGTCCCTCCCATCACAGGCCCAGAGACTTAGGAGGAAAAGACACTTTTGTGGGCTGGGCCCAGGGCCCCCCTGCTCTGTGCAGCCTAGGGACTTGGTGGTCTGTGTTCCAGCTGCTCCAGCCATGGCTAAAAGGAGTCAAGGTGCAGCTCAGGTTGTTGCTTCAGAGGGTGGAAGCCCCAAGCCTTGGCAGCTTCCAGGTGGTGTTGAGACTGTGGGTACACAGAAGTTGAGAATTAAGATTTAGGAACCTCTACCTAGATTTCATAGGATGTATGGAAATGCCTGGATGCCCAGGCAGAAGTTTGCTGCAGGGTCAGGGGCCTCATGGAAAACCTCTGCTAAGGCAGTGACAAAGGGAAATGTGGGGCCAGAACCCCCCACCCAGAGTCCTTGTGGGGCACCACCTAGTGGAACTGTGAGAAGGAGGGCCACCATCCTCCAGACCCCAGAATGGTAGATCCACTGACAGCTTGCACTGTGCACCAGGAAAAGCTGCAGACCCTCAACACCAGCCTGTGAAAGCACCTGGAGGGAGGCTATACTCTGGAAAGCCACAGGGATGCAGCTGCTCAAGACCATGGGAACCCACCTCTTGCATCAGCGTGACCTGGATATGAGATGTGGAGTCAGAGGAGATCATTTTGGAGCTTTATGATTTGACTGCCCTGCTGGATTTCAGACTTGCATGGGGCTTGTAGCCCCTGTGTTTTGGCCAATTTCTCCCATTTGGAATGGCTGTATTTACCCAATGCCTGTACTCCCATTGTATCTAGGAAGCAACTAACTTGTTTTTGATTTTACAGGCTCATAGGTGGAAGGGACTTGCCTTGTCTCAGATGGGACTTCGGACTGTGGAATTCTGAGTTAATGTTGAAATGAGTTAAGACTTTGAGGGACTATTGGGAAGGCATGATTGGTTTTGAAATGTGAGGACATGAGATTTTGGAGGGGTTGGAGCGGAATGATATGGTTTGGCTGTGTCTCCACCTAAATCTCATCTTGAATTGTAACTCCCACAATTCCCAAGCCTCATGGGAAGAACCTGGCGGGAGGTAATTGAATCATAGGGGTGGGTTTTTCCCATGCTGTTCTTGTGATAGTGAATAAGTCTCATGAGATCTGATGGTTGAAATAAAAAACAGGATTTTCCTGCACAAACTCTCTTCTCTTGTCTGCCACCATGTGAGGTGTGACTTTAACCTTCTGCCATGATTGTGAGGTCTCTCCAGCTACGTGGAACTATAAGTCCATTAAACCTCTTTCTATTGTAAATTGCCCAGTCTTTGGTTATGTCTTTATCAGCAGCATGAAAATGGACTAATAAATATATAAACCAGTGGGGCCATCT